CGCTCTGCAATAGTAGCTCAAACTCGAAACTCCAAGTGTAGAAATCGCAATAGTCGAAGATAGAGCTTGTTCTGATTTTAGAAACAGCGAAGAACTTCGACTGTGCTATTTGCAAGCTTCGTCACTTAATCGTGTGTTTGCAGGTGGTTGCGTATTGGAGGCGTCAAAGTTGAAGAAGCCAGGAGTGGAGCCTTTGTCTGCAGGGGTTGGTTGCATTTCAGTGTTTTGGCGAGCGGTGCTCGAGCCGTCGATCTTAAGAGATTGAAGTCCTTCTTCAAGAGTTGACATTCGTTGGAGCAATTTTTTTAGGAGCCCTGTGGGGACGGAAGTGGTTGTCGCCGGATTCAAAGTGCTTACAGGTGCTTCGGGAGGAGGGCTTCCTTGCCCTCATGATCCCGAGCCTGGGGCCATTCTGTGGCGGGAGCGAGTCACTGGCGCCATGGTATTTGAGTTTGAAACTGATTGAGGATGTCGTGCGTAGACCCCTGATGAGCTATGTTTACCATGAAGCGATCCAATATGGTCAGTAGATCTTCAGGATTGAACTTCAGTAGCGCGCTTTGCGGAAGCAGTTGATTGGTCTGGTGAACGCTGTTAGAGTGAAAGTAATATAATAGTTTCGATCATAGCAAGAGAATACAGGGTTCATATAGTGATACAAGAGAATGCGAAGGGTCTAACTAAGATGTACTTAACAAGGGTACATTCCCTAAGCAGTTCCGGATCCGACTCGGGTAACTGTACACGACTCGGGTAACTGCCTACGCTGTAATACAAGGTCAGTTATGCGTCCTTGCTGTCATGACAGACCCTTGAACTTCGGTCGGTCAACGATCAACGACCGTTGCACTTCGTACCTCGCGTCATAGGCTTGGACTCGACAAGGGTTACGGCTCGAGTGTCACTTTCAGGAATGTAACAATTTCCTCATTGTAACAGTATAAGGTAACTGAAAGGAGAGATACGGCATGCTTACTTGGAGATACGCTTGTGGTATCACATCATACTAGCATGTGGTGGAGAATTCAGAAAATAATAAACAACGAAAGCATATCAAACCTTTGCATTTCATATGTATTAACCTCCAATTTGTACTGCCATTTTGTATACCGTAATCTCCCGGATAAAGGACCCACCAGTAAGAGAGTCCATGGGTCTTTAATCCAGATGTGGGAACAGCTATTTTGGCAATCCTTGTGAGCACCCACTTTTTGGCATTGTAATTTTTAAGACCCACAATGCTTGCCTTTTCTCTATAATTTACAGAGGATTCCTCCATAACGAGACCTTTGCACTGCGCGCGTGGGTCAAGACATTAAAAAAACCATCGCACCATGTCAGCCTCTGACAAAAAAGATGTGCGAGGCTTAAAAATTTGACGATAAGAATTCGGGGCTTCCGCGTTACAATTATAACTCCCAGTGTTATAAATTAATCAGAGTAATAACGGGTAGTGTAATAAAGGAGTCGTGATTCAAGAGTGTCGATAAAAATGAGGGCCTAGGCATTTTTAGGCACGAACATGGCTAGCCGAGAACCACGCGAACATGTTGGGGCGGTCCGATTGGTGAAAACTACGGAAGCACCACGCGTTTAGGTTTGGGTTCGTTAAGTGGTTCGGGACCGAAGAAGTTGGCCGAGCCTGGACTTCCGAGAGTCGAGAGCGTACGCGCTGTAGTCGAGCCCAGTAAGGAAAAAGGAATTTCCTTACACCACCCCCCCTTCCGGGACGAGACTACCCACATTCGGGACACGTCGTCGATGTAAATAGTCGCGGCCAACTCTGTGTTCGCCGAGCATAGCCGCGGGAATACAGAGGTCGTCGTCACTCGTACAATCGACCCATCGTACAAGGAAATCGATGGCTGCTGTATCTCGATGCCCTTGTACATGATGAGCGAGAATCTTGGACGGCTTTGTCATAGGCTCAAGTCCTGGGTTGACCGTCGGATTAATGTGTTGACTGTCGAGATTGGTCGCACTCGGGACGAACGGTCGCAGGAGACTGACATGGAACAAATCATGAATTCGCCAGTCGATCGGCAGTTGCAGCTGGGCGGTGATAGGTGTCACCATACGAATGATGCGGAACGGCCCGCAAAATTGTGGTCATAACTTATTTGGGAGGGGAATTTTCAAATTCATGGTGTCGAGCAAGACCATTTGCCCAGGGGCAAGGGTTCATTCACAGCGTCGTCAGTCAGCTTGTTGCTTAGCCCTCTGGTTGGCTTTGAGGATGGCATCAGCGGCTTTTTGTTGAGACTATCGGAGGTTTTCGACGAACTGCTGAGATCTTGGTGACGGGTTTTCTATCGGTGGCGATAGAGGGTTTGTCGGATCTATCCCGTGATTAAGGAAGAGAGAGGACTCAGTACTCGTGGCTGATGGGGCATTGTTGTACGCAAACTCAATCATAGGAAGGGCGTCTTCCCATTGGGCCGGGTCCGTGCATGTCGTGCGGATCAGCTGCTCCATCGCCTGGTTGGTGCGCTCAGTCTAACCATCTGATTATGAGTGGTATGCCATGGAAAGATGCAGATGTGTGCCGTACTGCTGCCAAGTTTTTGTCCAGGAGTTGGACGTGAACCGTGGGTCACGATCGCTGATGATTGCCGAGGGGATGCCGTGTAGCCGCACGTTGTTCGTCAGGAACAGTTTCGCTGTCTGCTCGGCAGTAATTGTCGTCTTGCAGGCGGCGAAATGGGTCGTTATAGTCCGCCGATCAACGATGACGAGGATCGTGTCGTTATCGCTTGGACCAGCTGGCAGGCCAGTGACGAAGTCCATCATCACTTTTTGCTGGGTCGACTGGGTGGCTCGAGCTGCTGCAGCAATCCAACAGGTCTAAGTCGGGAAGACTTCATGCGTTGGCATGTGGTGCAGGAGGTGACATACTGCTGCACGTCTGTCGGTAAGTCGGGACAGTAATAATTACGGGTCATAAATTTCGTGGTTTTGTCGATGCCGTAGTGGCCCGAGAAATTTGAGTCATGGGCCTCCTGAATCAGTAATTCCCATAGGGTACGGTAGGCGGGAACCCAAATCCGATTGGTACCGGATTTTAGATAATAGGCCCCTTGTTTGACCATCAGTTGGGAATGATTGGGTCAGTATTGTTTCAGTGGGTGAATAGGTCAGTTAGCAGTGGATTAGCTTGGGTAATTAGGACGGGGGCGGTGTGGACTGAGGGGCGGGTCAGTGCGTCTGCGATGTTGCTAACCCCTCGTTTGTAGGTGACTCTGTAGTGGAAGTTGGACTCGAGGTAGTCGAGCCAGCGAACATGTCGAGGATTCAGTATCGGCTGCGCACGGATGAACTATAGCGACTTGTGGTCTGTTCGGACTGTCACGTCAGCGCCCGTCAGGTAGTAGCGCCAAACCTTGAAAGCGTGGACGATGGCGAGTAACTCCTTGTCATGGACAGGATAATTTCGTTCGGCATGTTTCATCTTTCGTGACTCGTAGGCGATGGGTTGTAGACCTTTGCCGAAGTCTTGTAACAGGACTGCACCGACGGTCAGATCGCTAGCGTCGGTGACGAGCTCGAACGGATAGTGAGGATCCGCAATCCGAAGAACTAGAGGTGTAGTCGGAAAATTTTGAGCTTTTCGAACGCAGCCTGCTGCTCACCCCCCCACTAAAAAAACGTGCCCTTCTTCAGGAGATCCGTGAGAGGGGAAGTTACCCCCGCCATATTTGGAATGAAACGGCGGACGTAATTGACAAAACCCAGAAAGCTCTGAAGTTCGCGGAGATTAGTTGGCGGCTTCCAGTCTTGTATCGTCGCAATCTTGTTGGGTTTATTTAACAGCGTCGATGGAAAAGACGTGGGCCAAAAACTCCAGTTTATGTTTTAGAAACTCGCATTTAAAGCTTTTGGTGATGAGTCGGTGCTGCTGCTGGAGGGAGAAGACGGGTTCCAAATCCTTCAAGTGCTGCTCTCGGGTAGTGTTGTTGACCAGGATGTCGTCGAGGTACACGATGACGCACTTATCCAGCTGTGGCCGAAAAATCTCGTGCATGGTCAAATAGAATGTCGAAGGTGCGTTTGTTAAGCCGAATGGCATAACCGTGTACTCGTAACTCCTGTACCGGGTCAGAAACGCGGTCTTATAGTAGTCAGCTTCATGCACGCGAATCTGCTAGTAACCGCCTCGGAGATCGATTTTCGAGAAGAACCGGGCCCCGCGAAGCTGGTCGATGAGTTCGTCGGCACGTGGAATGGGGTAGCGAGATTTGATGGTAACCCGCTGCTCGCTGTGGAATTCTTCAACAGCTTCAGGTGTTGCTGACGCCCTCAATTTGCTCGCAGCATCTTCGTCTCGGGTAACAGGTCGCCCCTGACGCGTTTCACCCCGTGCCTGGCGAAACGACGAGTTTTCGTTGCGCAGCGTCTGCACTTCGCTTCCCAGCATCTCGAACTTCTCGGCAAGTTATTGAAGCTGGGCTTGCAGGGTCATCACTGTAGCCGCCCGAGCTTGCAGCTCGTCAAACTCCTCCTGAGTCACGTTCCTAACACTACGGCGCGCAGAGGTTTCCGGCGTGGTAGGCATGCTGGAAATTTTACCTGACAGATCTTAGGGTGCACACGCTTCTAGTTGGAGGAGCTTTAACGAGCTCACCTACCAACCGCAGGCCAACCCCCTATTCTGTCGAGTCCTCTCCCGATATAAATGGACTACTCTATGGAAGAGTAAGCGGGCAGGAACGGGGATCTGATACCAGCTGTTGTGAATCAATCAGAGTAATAACTCTCAAAGAAGCTTAGGATAGGAACTACACTTAGGAACCTAGCTTAGCTAGGAAGGAAGGAAGGACGCCATGGAATGGCGTGAGGCAAGTAGATCTAGGAGTAGGCAAAAGTGACGAGAAAGAAGAGAGTTGGACTAGGAAGAGAGAGAGGTACAAGGAGGAGATTGTACCCTCTACAGAAAGGTTCAGTAACACTACCAAGCCTATCAATTATATAACTCAATATAATTTTAACAATAACATGTAGTGTAATAAAGGGGTCGTGATTCAAGAGTGTCGATACAAATGAGGCCTATGCATTCATAGGCACGAACAGGGCTAGCCGAGAACCACGCGATCAGGTTGGGGCGATCCGGTTGGCGAAAGCTACGGAAGCGCCACGCGTTTTGGTTTGGGTTCGTAAAGTGGTTCGGGACCAAATAAGTCGGCCGAGCCTGGACTTTCGAGAGTCGAGGGCGTACGTGCTGTAGTCGAGCCCAGTAAGGAAAAACGAATTTCCTTACACCCTGCGTAGAACGCATCTACATGCAATACAGAAGTTGATACAGTGTAAAATAATTGCACAAGGGTCTCAATAATTTCCATCTGCGCTAATGTCTACCCTAGAAATTTTCTAAGTATTTCTAGGAAGTCCATGGGGTCCTATATCCGGGAGAGTACGGTACTTTTTCAATAAAACACTATACAAAAAAGGTTGAGCTAGTCACTTACAATGCTGCTGCTGCTGCTACTGCTGGTGGTAGTGGGGGGGAGGAGGCCGCCTCCTCTTGAATGTATCCAAGATCAGATTGATCTGTCCCTCAAGCTGCTCCACCTTCTCTATAGTGAACTGAGGGGGCACCTTATCTCGAGGCACACTGAGGTATGGAATGATCCGATATAAGATGTCCTTGTAGTGTTTCAGTCGCTCCCACTGCTCCGGCACCAAGAACTGCAGCTGATGTTTGTCCGTAACACAGGTGGCATTGGAGTAAATTCCACAAAGAAAGGTATGAAAATTCTCATGACACCAGGAAAAAAATGAAACATGAACATATCTCATATTTTGCTGTCCCCCTCTCTCCCTCACCTCCTGCCTACCTCTCTCCCTCACCTACTGCCTGTCTGTCTTCCTCACCTGCTGCCTCTTCCTCACCTGCCGCCAATCAAACATATATGCATATGTTATTATAGGCTAGATAGGTGCATGCTCTTAGAGAGTACAACTCACTAGCACAAAGTCACCTTGTACCCTCCGTTCTAGTCAATGCGTTTTTCTGAGACCGCCTCCCTCCTCACCTGTTGGCTCTTGAGAACTAGGAAGATGTGAATTTCCTTCAAGTCCTCAAGGTGGCTCGCCGTGAGGCTTTGCAGCTGGTTGGGGGGGGGGGAGAGGGGGTACGATGCAGCACACAGCGGACATCAAGAGAGCATTCACATGAGAGCACAGAGGTGAGAGCACAGAGGTGAAAGCACAGAGGTGAGAGCACAGACCGGAGATCATAAAAGCATAGCACATGAGATCAGAGCACATGAGATCAGAGCACATGAGAGCAGAGCACATGAGATCAGAGCACATGAGAGCAGAGCACATGAGATCAGAGCACATGAGATCAGAGCACATGAGATCAGAGCACATGAGAGCAGAGCACATGAGATCAGAGCACATGAGATCAGAGCACATGAGATCAGAGCACCTATGTTGGAATATACGCACAGAAGGCTTTGCGTATTGCGTATATACGCTTGCGAATATACGCAATACGCTGATACGCTTGGAATACGCGATACGCGATACCCGGGCTGCCCGGCGAAAAAAAAAACTTATATTTTTTTTTTCCGCGACTTCGCGACGTCGCGGTTTTTTCGCCCATTCTTTTTTGCCCATAGCCCAGCCTGCTCTGTACGTGATTGAAAGCCATCCCGTGTTTGCCGTTCCCCATTTCCGTCCAAATCTCAGCTCTGAAGCGAAACGGTGGTGTGCTTAGCTAGGTGGCGGCGATTGCGCGAGTTACGGTGCTTGTTAGTCTTCTACCAAAGTGATGGGGGAGATGATGGGGGGGAGAGTCGAGCATTTGTGAGGAAAGGTTGGAGTTTGTAGATGGGTGGGAGTTCAGTGCGGTGAAAGGGAGGGAGTTGGTTGGCTGGAAGCCAATTTGACTTTGTAGACGGGGGGGTTGAGTGCGGTGAAAGGGAGGGAATTGGCAGGTCAAAATTCGACCCCTCAGAAAATGCCTCTCATTTGAGAGTCACGTTTTCAGAAACCCTAGCCTAGCCGCTACCATCATGGCTTCCTTGCTGCCCCCTGGTTTTGTTACCCTGCCCGGGCAAACCTTTTTTCCTGCCCGGGCATGCGTATTCCTGCCGTATTGGACCCCAAATCCAAGCGTATAGCGTATATACGCAAGCGTATATACGCTAGCGTATAAAACGCAGTACGCGTATTTTCCAACATAGCAGAGCACATGAGAGCAGAGCACATGAGATCAGATCACATGAGATCAGATCACATGAGATCAGAGCACATGAGATCAGAGCACATGAGAGCAGAGCACATGAGAGCAGAGCACATGAGAGCAGAGCACACAGATGAGAGCACAGCAACACACACACACACGCAGCAAGTGGAACACACGAAGCAGACACAACAAAGAAACCACGGAACCCCATGCCTGCAGCTTATGAAATCCAGACACGTAGCGATAAGCCAAGCACAGTGCAGCAAAGGCATGCATTAGAGGCGTGCAGCAGAGGCGTGCAGCAAAGGCGGTTGGATATGTGGGCAGGAATGGGAAGCCACGCACCCTTTGCCACACAGCGTCTGAAATCCCTCCCTGCTGCGTGGCCGTTGACTGTAGACTCGATTCTTGCTGCTGCTGCTGCGGAAAACTCGTGCAGGCTGTTGAAAAAATAAGAAGGGGGTGGGGAGGGGGAGGGAGCGAGAGGGGAAGAGAGAGAGGGTGGGGAGGTAATGGTGCGAGAGGAAGAGATGTGTATCCGATTGACTGCTGTGACCTGGATGCTGCTGCCACAAGCTCACTGGGATCCAGTAGTGAGAGGAAAGGGACGGAAAGGGCCATTACCGTGAGTGCAAGTGAGCCATGCATGCATGCAACAGACATGGCAGCTGAAACATATCATGATATCACATAGAGGCTGCAGCACAGTCACTCCTTACAGCCCATCCCTTACAACCCATCCCTTACAGCCCATCCCTTACAGCCCATCCCTTACATTCGCCAGCAGCCACCTCTGCTGTGGTAACAGACCCTGATGACGTCTGCGAGCTCATCCCCCGGCCTGGGCGTGCAGCAAGTGACGGCCCTTGAGGTACAGCATCTTCCGGGAGATGCGCCACATGTAGTCGTCCTGGTGGCCCGCAGACAGAAAGGGGATGCCAGGCGGGGGAAACAATGGTGCTGCTGAAGCCTGGGAGGGTGCTGCTCCCCCCTGCAGCCTGCGCCTGCAGCAAGTGACGGCTCTTGAGGTACAGCATCTTCTGAGAGATGCGCCACAGGTAGTCGTCCTGGTGGCCCAGAAACAAGGGGGGTGTGGGGGGGAGGGAGGGGTGAGGAGGTCGGAGGGAGGGGGGAGAAGGGGGGAGGGAGAGGGGAGGAGGGGGAAGGGAGGGGGGCGGGGAGTGGACATGTGGGAAAATCGTTCTGAAGCCTGGAAAGGGGCTTGCTATTGCCTGAATCCTGCGCTTGATGTGGCCCTTGCTCTTGATGTACGCGCCACAGGTAGTCGTCCTGGTTCAAGGAACTGGGGGGAGGGGAAAAATGGGGCGGTGGGGTTGCGGGGAGGGGGGGTAGCACATGGGAGGGAAAAAATCGGACGGAGGTGACATGAAGGAAAAGAAGGGCGACAGCTACAATTGGCAGGTTGCGGAAACGTGCAACCATAAATGGGCGCTCGGTTGCCCGCTGCTCGGTTGCTCGCTGCTTGGTTGCCTGCCTGTCTGGTGCGTGAGCTTGCAATGGGGGCTCCTACACCCGGTTTGTCGTAAATGCGCGAGTGTTGGGTCAGGTCGGTCGTACTTGGCTGGAGGCCGTTGAGAAGACATGTTGCTCGAACAACTCAGCCAGGCGGTGCAGCTCGCCGGTGTCACGCAGCGATGTGAACTTCTGAAGGTCCTCCATGCTGCGCGGTACGACGATGCACGGTGAAACGGATAGGGTACAGAGTCAAAGAAAACAGAGGTAGTGGGGTATGAGGGGCCTTAAAGATGGTCCATGCCTCTTTATTCCACTATGCATTTCATACCGTGCCGGGCACCGATGTGAACTTCTGAAGGCTCTCCATGCTGCATGGTGGAATCAAGAGGCATAGAATAACCAGGGCTGATAAAAAAAGCAGAATAACATGGGCCGTGGGCTGAATTGAGCCCATGGGAGTGCTTTTGAGGCGCCTCAAAAACAGTCTCAGTGCGATGGGAGTTTCTGCAGGCTCTCCACTCCATGCTGCATGGACAGCCGAAACACAGCAGAACGAGCAAACAGAGATTAGGGTAACTCTTAAGCGCCTCAATAATCGTTCACCTCGGACGCCAATGCAAACTTTTGCGGGCTCTCCATGCTGCACGGTGGACTAAAAAGGGTGATAAAAAAGGAGGAATGAGAAACACCAGTGGGTTAAGTTGAGCCGACCAGAACGTCTGCAGGCTCTCCGTGCTGCACTATCCTCTCCGGAATCGCTGCTGCTGAGGCGACATGATTCTAACAACCCACGGCTCATTGCTCTCAGACACAGATAAACCTAGGTAAATTGCACGACGTGACGCACATGCGCTTTCACCAGGATCTGCCGCTTCTCCCGTGGAGCTGACCATCGCAAAAAAGGTGTGCTCGCAAAACGATTGCGTAGCATTCGAGCGAATGCTTTGCAAACGTTTTGCGAACATGTGGGTGAAAATTCATAGCGGACTAAGATCAGAACACTTGGCGAATGCTTGGGCAACATTTCCCGAAACACTTTTTGGTTCACGACAGCGAATGCTTAGAGGTGTCTTTTCGGTAATCTCCGTGGTTCGTTTACAAATGCATGGCGGTGTTCTTTCTACAACTTTTGCAGTAAACATGTAAATGCATAGAGAAGTTTATGCTCACCATTTTTAGTATTCAGCATGATTTGTTGCAAACGTTTGGTGGTGTTTTTCATGGATCCGTTTTTGCAGGCTGCAGTACCCTTTTGGGCATGGTTCAGTACAATTAGGGCATGCCTCGTTTGGATTTACTTATAATGCAACAAGCAAATTATTTGATATATTAAAAAAAACATCTACACCACAGTACACAACCACTATGGCCCAACCGCCCTTGCCTACCAGCACCCCTATGTGGGTCCCGCACTAACACAAAGAGAAACTGAGCGGCGGCACACCAGGAGCAGCAATTCTTGAAACTGGATTCGAATTCCTGCACGTTACGTTCAGAACTTGTTATCTCGAAATTAATCCAAGGTCGAAATCACCAACAATAAGGACAATGCTTACAACAACGAAGTAGCGCGACGCTGGATATTGAGTCCTGCACATTAGGTTCAAACATTGTAATCAAATTAGTTATATTCCATACGATAGCAATTACAAGAGCCAGCTTACCGGAGGAAATAGCTCGTGGTAGGCTACAAATTTCTGCACGTCATACGAGACATTGTTGTGAAATTAGTCCGACGATCAAATGACCAGCGAGACTTACAATTGGACTTACATGGGGAATTATCTCGATGTTGGACAGAGTTACATAGCTAGCTGCGATAAAGACAAGCATCGTGAGGACACATGCAAATCATTAGTTTGATTGATACGTCAAGTAACAAATGCCTTCATACCCCCATGGCGTGCTCTGTGTGCCCGTATCGTGCGTGCATGGCGCCCTCCACCAGCAGCCCCGCCTGGAATCGCCCCGCCCACCACTCCGACGCCGGGCGACTACCCACCGCTGTCACGCCCGCACTGCTTGGAGAGAGGAGGGGGTGGCAGGGGGCGGAAGCGGGAGGGTGGAGTGACGGTGTGCGCAAGAGTCGGGGAAGAGCGCACAAGACATGGAAGAACAGAATGGAGGCTGCACTCCTTGTGGCGGCTGCACTCCTCGTGGTGGCTGCACTCCTCGTGGCCGCCTCACCATGAGGGCCACGCGTGCACAGCACACTCACACGATCACACGTATCAACGTGCGAACGCCACACTCTCCCCCACACTTCCTTGCCCTGTCATGCAGCAGGCCCTTCCCACTGCCCCCCACACTCGCACGTGCCTGCGAATGCCCTCTCATGGGCCTCTCTACTCCAGCAACCCATCCGTGGCACCTGTATGATCCCCCCCTCTCCGCCTGGCCATGACTGTTCACCTGTAGTCGAAGTAACGGTGCAGGGAGGCGAGGGAGGAGGAGAGATGGCGCGAGGAGAGAGACTCGTGGTGCTGCCACAGATGCACCTGATGCCATGCACCCACGCCATGCACCCATGTGATGCCATGCACCCATGTGATGCCATGCACCCATGTGATGCCATGCACCCATGTGCCATGCGCCCATGCCATGCCATGCAGCCATGTGATTCCATGCAGCCATGTGAAAGAAAGAGGTGAGTAAAGGCAAGAAGAGTGGTAGGTCGCATGGAGAGGCGTGGCGTGCAAGAGCCAAAAGGGGGTGGCATGGGCACGCAACAGGCAGAACAGAGGGCACACGGATGGGCTGCCAGGGATGGCTTCACACCGCCATGCATATAGCAAGGCACATGTATGCACCTTGGGTGGCAGGTCGTGCGCATACGCCATGGCGCTCACGTCGTCTGGCAGCGCACCACCCATGGCGCCAGCATGCCCCCCTTCACTGCTCCTCGGGCCTGCTGCTGCTGCGCCCAACCTGCAGCGCACACACGATGGACGGATGGATGGGGCATGCGCGTGAGAAGGGGAGTGCACGAGAGCGGATGCTCTCCATTCCGCTCTGCCCCCTCCACCTTCCCACACACACTACTAGCCATGCCTCTCTGCACGAGTCGCGCCGCACCACTGCTGCGCCAAGCACACACGTGGCAAGCACACACATGGCAAGCACAGCTCCAGGGGCGAGGGGGAGAAAGAGCAGCTGGGACGAGCGAAAAGGGAGAGAGGGCACGAAAGGGGGATCGAGACGGGCATAGACGGAACGAGTACAGGAGAGAGGAAAAGGACAGTGGCGAGAAGCGAAACAAGGGGAGAGATGTTTCACCACCGTGCTCGCATCTGCTGGCGTCCGCGCACCTGGTG